TGTGGTTATCACTGCACGATTTCAGTCAGCTAAATGGTTGGTTTTATTTTGTTTAACTTTCTTTACGAGCACGCTGAATCAGGATTTCGAGTAGGATTGTCATTTCAGTTGCTTGCGACGGTACAAAATGCACCACTGATTCGCTTTATAGTGGTCTACGTATAAGCTTTCTTTTTTATTTTTTTGGATAATTCTTAATACATGTGAGAGAGTATATAAGTGACTTTTTTTCATTAAAAATGATGTTTTGGGTTTTTTGTTGTCAGTGTGATAAATGACTTTTTTTCATTAGAGCGAAAGATAAAATAAAGGGCATCAGGGAGTAATTTTGTTAACTGATATCAAGAAAGTAAAATATGGTGAATTTAAATGCTAGATATTTCATTCATTCTAGCTAACAGTTTAATATTGACCTAGTAGAGTTATTTTCATTATTGCTTACCCGTAATAGATAGATTGGCATGATTTAAATCTTTAAATTGGTGTGAAAAAATAACTTATCTCTTATCTAGCTTGCTTGCAGTTAAGTCCTAGTCAATTACACAATCTTATATCTAATTTCATTTATTGTTCTTCTGTGCCTTCACAGATCATAAAAATGAATATTGTTTCATAGAATTATCAAGAACTCCATGGTCAATTGTGACCAATCTCATTGAACTAATTAATAATCTTTATAACACAATTAAGCAAACCACATAGATGTTGAATGAAAGCTTCACAATCATAACACACCAATTTCTGAGTCTTTCATACATTAATGAAACAAACCATACTATGGGTAGAGTTTTGTCATGCATCACCCAATTGTTTATGATAAAAATAGAGTCTCATTTATCAAATAATTGAGAATTCAACAAAAGCATCACTGCACAAGTGTCTGTCCATATTCATCAACTTGTAGTCAATGATTTTGTAGTCCACACTTTGGATCAGCCGCCTGCATTAATCCAGCAAGGAAACGAACAAGGCTGTTGAGTGTATTCTACATATATTCATGTTATCAAATATAATTCATTTTGTAGTCAATGCGTCAAAAAACCTTCTTTGTTTTCTTATTTTGAAAGCCGTTTTTTGTTTTTAAAAAAATTAAAAAGGCTTGTTTTGTAATTTGTTGTTAACTAAGTGTTTTTAAAAACCAAAAAACAAATATTTTTAAAAACTCAAAAACAAAAACAACTTTTAGTTATTTTCTTGTTTTTGTTTGCAAAAATTGGAAAAACTTTTTTTTTCCCCCGCTTGATGGCTTTTTTCTCATTTAAAAACTTGAGTTCTCGTTGAAACTTCACTTTCCAGTCTCAGTATGTTTATGTCAAATGCAGTTTTTTGAAGCAATTAACCAAACAGATTTTTGTTTTGTATTTTTTTTTTCAAAACTTGTTTTAAAAAACAATTTTATCAAACTATTGAGGAAAAATAAAAAAAAAAGAAACAAACAGCCCCTCTATTTTTATCATTCTATTTTGTAAATATATATCATATTTAGTTGAAAACATGGCTTAAATAATTGGGGTAAACAAATTATCAAAATCATCCTTTTTGAAATACGCCAGCTATTTCTTTTCTTCTTAATCACAGTTGATCTCTTTAAAATAAGTAAAAGCAATTCACTAACTCAACCGATACTATACACAGAGAATGTACAGAAACAAAGAAAATTTTATAAAAAAGTAAAAAAAAAAAAAAAAGACACGCACACTCACAAAAAGATGGCTCCCCTTTTCACCCTTTAATATGGAGCACTTGTTGATATTACAGTAACTACTATTGGAAAAGAAATTGAAATAAACATCAACAAGCAACTCATATCTTTTAGTGATAGTAAAGCACAGACAAATGTAGCAAAAACATACAAATAATTTAAGAAAAAGAAAATATTTGGCGTATAGGGTGAAAAAAAGAGATGCAAGTTTTTTTATTTTCAAGCTTGTCCCCCTCATGTATGAGGCTTTCATTGATATCATAATAACCACTAGGAAAAAAAAAACAGCCGATAAGTCAAAAATCATAAAAGTAACGAACCTGGAAAGAATGATAACATGGATGATGGACCTATCCTTCTATATATTAACACTATCCTGCAATAACAAATCACAATATTAGCTGCCTAAAATAGAAGGCAATTTTGAAAAGAGACGTCGTTGGCATGAGCACGATACAATCAATTTTCTATTTCCGTGGCCATTAACAACACATTTTCCGAAAAAATATTTGTTAGTATGGGTATGTCATACCTTTGCTGAGGATAGCATTTCTACTGTTTTGTTAAGGTCCCCTTTATCCTTCCACTCCATCTCATGCTCTTCTATTTTTACTCTAGACAACTCTGGTGTTTCCAACAATCCTGAACAAAACATCTTCATTTCAAGACATCCAGTTATTTCTACCTCTTCTAATTCAGGGAATTCAAATGTCTGACTTTGTGAAGAGAACATCTTCAAGCTTGGCATATCAGTAAGTTCAATCCGCTGTAATCGGTTGAGAGTGATTCCACCTTCTACACCTTCATTGTTCTCATTCAATACAATTTCCTCCATTTTTTTACAATCGTTTATCCCCAACCGTTCAAGACTTGCCAAGCTTTTGGCAGTTGAACTTGTAACCAAATAGACGAGTTGATGGCATCCAGATATAGACAGCTTCCACAAATTTTGAAATGAAGCAAAGGATGGTGCCAACCTGACCAAGCTATGACAACTTTCGACTTCCAGGCATTTTATTAGGTCTTGATGAATTGGTGGTAGCTGAGAATCATCCTTCCATATGCTCTTGAGTTGATCCAAATAGGCAATGTGCAATTCTTCAAATGGTGGGATTTTCCCCATAAAATCGATAATCTCATCTTGCAAGGGGAATACCTCCTCAAATGAACTATGCTCCATGTAAAGCTCTTTCAACTTGGGAAATCTTTCAAGGGAGCCATAGGGAAAGGTTACCCCTTCATCCTTGAAACTTTCTACATAAAGAGTTCTCACTTTAGGAAAGACATCCCTTATCTTCGTGATATTCTCTGCATTTAAAGCCATGCTTTCGGTTGTGGAAATTACCTATAAAATGATAATTAGTAAAACAATTACCATAATGAGTAGGTGATTTAGTAAATTACATCAAGATATTGTTTTCAAGAATTAAAACTTTTCAATGGATCACTCATCTTTTGCTAATATCTAAAATTTTCATCAAATCAAATAACATCCACACCTTAAAATTTAAAAAATCCTTTAAATTAACTTCATAGCCCCTTTCTTTCGTCTAAGTTAAATTGAAAAAAAAAAATCCATAATTTCCTTGCAATTCACATTTAGGGCTAGGCTTTTTTTACTATGAAAATAACCTGTTCAAAGATTATTGGTAAAATTATTATTATAAGAAGGCAGTTTAATAAATCAGGTCAGAATTTTTTTTAAAAATAATTTCTTATATTTATTGTAGATAAAATCTTTCTTAATTGACCAGTCATCTTTTTCTAATACTTATATTTTTCATCATTAATCCCCCCTTCCCTCCGCAAAATCACTTTAAACATAAACAAAATTCTTTGAATCACTTTATAGGCCCATTTCTTTCCAGTCAGAGATCTACAAACCTTATCACACTATTTGCAGTCTGCCACATCCATTAATTATCATTTGCTTATCAGCTTTCGCGTGGAATCAAGTTCTTGTAATTTGATGAAAAGTTTACAATTTTTGTGTAGACGACGGAATGTCCAAACTTTAATATTTATGTCAAATATTTATCTGAACCTAAATTTTGTAGATGATGAGAAATTATTTAAAAAGAGAAAAACAAGAATATCAGTATGTTGGACTAACCTCTTGAATAGTAAACCGATGTTGGATGGTGGCATTAAGATCAGTCATCCAAATATCTATGTGATAAGGTGCATATTGAGCTGTCACTTGAACCTTTTGAAGCAGCGGGGCATGAATGGCTCCAGAACAGAATATTGTGAGTTGAGGGCACTCTGATACGATTGCATGTTGTAATAATGGAAACTTGAAAATATAATATTGGCTGCAAAATCTCTTCAATCTTGGTAATCTATCAAGTTCCAAAAGCTCCAGTTTGTTGAAAATGATTGTCTTGTCCTCATTGTTCTCTTTTTTCTGTTTCGTCATAAGTTCTTCTATTTGATGGCATGAACCATCTAGTGAAGAAACTAAGTTTATTTCTCCTTGGTGGTCATTATTGCCCAACACATTCTTCAATTTTGGCAAATTCTGTAGCCTTAACTTTTTCAATGGCACAATCACTGATGATGACACCATCTCCTTATAATCATTTAAATCTTCAAAATCAAACACCATCTCCAACATTTTACACCCCGTGACTTGCAGTTCTTCCAAGTTGTTTAAAGATTTCAGCACATAAAGCGGTACCAATTTCACAAAGCGACAGTACCATACAGTCAATGTTTTCAAGTTGCTGAATGAGTTGTGTGAAAGCTTGTCATCCCATATCGGTGGAATCAAACTGTTTAAAAAGTGTAATTCTAATATCTCCAACTTTGAGAATGACATCTGCTGAAAGAAAATATAATTAAACGAATATCTTTTGGCAAAAAACGAAAACAAAGTTACTGTTGACTTGCAAGGCTTAGTTTCATGAAAGATTGTTTAAATGTGTAAGTATAGATCTCGTGTACCACAGCATTCTTCAAGAGATTGACAAAAGTTCAACTTCAAATTTCAAGTTCACCAAACAGAAATAACTAACTAAAAAACAAGAGAACTATAAAATGCTACAATAGCTAGCCTAATACCAAAGTAAGTAATTTAAGTGAAATAATTTTTTTGATATATTGAGACAAGAAAAAATAAGAATATATTTTTACTGAACAGAGTAAATAATTCCAATGAAATTAATTTTCACAGCATAAGTTTGAAATTAAGAAGTTAATAAAATAAGAAAATCTTGGTGAGGAAAGAACATACTAGATAAGAAAAAAATTAATTTTTGTCTTAAAAAAACAGTAATAAATTGATGAGTAAAATATACTACCCTTCCTTGTATTTTGCCCTAATTACAAATTTTCCTTCTATTTTGAAAACATAAACCTAAGTCCAAATAGTTAAATCTATTGAGAATATTCTAAAAAAATATTTTTCTAATTCAAATTTATATTAAAATACTTTTGATTTACTAATTTATCCTTCATAATACTAAATTCTTAAATTTTGGCTAAAAAGTTTTGAAAAATTTAAAATGTTTTCTTTTCCTCAATTTTTTTCACTTTTTGCAGCTAGTTATTTGTTCAACGTTTTTATCATATTAGGAATGAAAATAAGTAATTTAGTGAGCGGAAATTTGGTTAATTCTTTAAATAAATATATAATTGACCAAATAAGTTATAAATATTTCTCATTTTTTTAAAAATTTTAAACTATAAATTTAAATAATTTCTATAATCTATCAAACTTAGATAATCTATCTTATATGACGAAAAGAATATGCATTCAACATATTTTTTAGCCATTTAAAGAAACCTAAAAAATTAATTTCAATATGCGTGACAAACAATTAAAATTATAAAATTTGATAATAGAATTAAAATTAACAAGTTTTATTACATTTTAAAAAGTCTGAAAATACATGTATTAAAATTTTTTTTGTGGTATTAAAATTTTTTTTTGCAAAAAAATGAATGTTTAAATAACTTTTATGTGAAGGAGGGGTATTTTGGTAAAAATAAAAGTTTAAAGGTCAAACTTAACTGTAACCTTACGGTTGGATAGATGGAAATGGAATTTCAAGTCAAATATACAAGGGAGATTTGTATAACATGCATTTTAATTTTAAGGGAGTTATATATATATTTGTAAAATAAAGGGAAGATTTCTATAAAACACAGGGCTAGTTAGTATATTTTACTGTAAATTGATTTGAACATACCTTATGATTATTTGTTGCTGGGTCTTCAATGCTGAAATCCATTTTATGCCCTTCCACTTTCAATCTTGGTAGATGCATGAGTTTTAATCTTCTCAACGCACTGAACGTGATTCCACCTTCCACATCGTCATTATTCTCATTCTTTACAATTTTCTCCATCTTTTCGCAATAATATATGTCCAATGTTTCAAGACTCACCAAAGTTTTGGCAGCTGAATTTGTCATTAAATGGATGAGCTGATGACATTGGGACACCTTCAGCACTGTCAAATTATGAAGAAGTTGATTTTGATGAACAATGGGTGATGGGAATATCTCCTCGAAAGAACTATCCTCCACACGAAGCTCAGTCAGCCGCGGAAATCTTTCAAGCAATGTATGCGGAAATGTTGCCCCTTCATCATCAAATCCGTCTATGCCCAGAGTTTCCACTTGAGCAAGACAATCCACTGGAAATTGGTCATTCCTTATCATGGTAACATCATACTCATCTAACACCATCTCTCTTGATGCCACAAATCTCTGTAAAACAGATATTGAGTCAGAAGCATGGTAATATTAATTTAGTAATTATGTTGCAACTTCTTATTGAATCAGTAATATTATTTTGTTTTTTATTGTCTCCCAAGATCAAATGCGCTCACTAGAAGTGTGAAACATTTTGATTTCATTTATTTTTCATAATTAATCTTGGAAAAGAAATAATTATATCAGCCACGTCAAGAAACATTAATGCCGACACATTTTGCTGTGTATCGCATTAGTTATTAAATTATGACGTAATTGTTTGGGATATTTTATAATTAAACTTATGTAATTAAAAAAAATGATAACTACTCCCTCCAGTTCTTTTTATAAAAGTTTGAAATTTGAATTGTCTTAGTTTTTTTTATAAGAGCCAACTTGAATTTGTCTAAACATTTAATATGTTTTTACCCTTTTTATCTCTGATTAATTTTATACATTGCATTAATTAAAAGGCTGACAACTTGGTATATTATCTTATCTTTCATATTTTTTCTCGTTATTACTCTATTTCTGTCTCTTACTTTTTCCCTCATAAATAACGGTATATATGGGGAAAAAATTTTCATTTCTTACTGAAACATTTCGCTGTGTATCCCATTAATTAATTATGATGTAATTGTTTTGGGATGTTTTGTAATTAAAGTTACGTAATTAAAAAATGATAACTAAAATTTTAGTAGAAACTTCAAAACCGAAACACGTATAGGTATTTTTATATTAAATATCATAACAATGGAACATTTATAGATTTAGATTTTTGTAAAAGCTGGAAATAGGAAGAAGGGAGCATTCTAGACGTACCTGTTGGTAGAATGTATTTTTAAGATTGGTGTCCCAAATTTCATGAGGTTTTCCATACATATCTTGTGACAGTAGAACGCTTTTAAGAGATGGTGTATCAATGAGTCCTGGAGAGAATACTTTGAATTTCGGACATCCTGTTATGATCACCTGTTCCAATAATGGAAACCTGAAAGTATAATTGTAGCGGCAAAATCTCTTCAATTCTGGTAACCGTTCAACTTTCAAATGCTGCAACTTGCTGAAAACGACTTCCTCATCGTCATCATCCTCTCCTTCTTGCTTCCATATAATTTCCTTTATGTCATCGCACCCACTAATTGAGAGACTTGTGAGATGGACCAAGCTTCGAGCAACTGATGACGTCATCAGAGTGGTCAACTCATCACAATATGTCACTTTGAGATGTGTGAGATTTGGTGAAGAAACTAAGAGTGGTACCAAGCTTGTGATTTTGGAAATAGATTTGAGAGTCAATTTTATTGGAAGAGGAACATCATCCCCTCCAGAAGCCTTCTTAATGTGACCCGCCAGTGTCATCTCCTCTAAATTTGGAAAGCTCTTCAACAACAATTTGTATGAAATAGTCGTTGTTTTATCAGCACGTAGATGAAGCAGTTTTACTTTGGGGAAGTGGTACATGGAAAGCTGGCCACTCCCTATCATCTCAGCTCCTTTACTCTCTAATGTCAACTCCTCCAAATTATGAGTGACCTGCACAATAAATAAATCATAACTAAATGTAACAACTAATCAATGCGTCAAAATCCAGCCGTGTGCCTTTTTTTAGGAGGATATCTTCAAATTTAAATTTGATGCATCCACAATTTTGACATACATGTATTTTGTAACTACAAATATTAATTATGATACATTAAAATGAATATAAATTTCTAGACTGGAGTTTGTATCTTTGATTATAACATACAAACGTTATTTTGATCTTCGTTTGTTTTAAAAAAGATTATCCAATTAAAGCTAATAATCGCTTGAAAAAAAGGAAAAAAAAAATCCCCTCCCTTGATTCAATGACACACCTCTTTTCCATGAAGATGGAAAGCCGAGAATTGGAGACCCACTTTTTTTAAAAGAGAAAAAATAGAAAATTATTTAATTAATTTCTAATATCTATTATTAATTAAAATAATTATTATGAATTATTCTTTTTTAGCTTTTTAAGTGGATAACCAAATTAATCCTAAACTACCTTATATTCTAATAAATGGTTTAGTGACAGGAATAATTCACACACTTGAGTACTCAAAAATATCAAATTCAAACGTGCTCTTGGACTGTGACACAAAATATGTTTCATTATTTATTTTAATGCTTAAAGTTAATTTTTTGCTCTTTTATTAGATTGTTTTAAAAATAAATAACACATGAATAGCTAATTTAGAGATGTACCTTGCATTGAGACAGTAGAGGATATTTTGAGTCTAATGAGCTCCATTCCTCGTGTATTTCTAATGAACTTGAGACTTCCTTTTCAAATATCTCCAATTCATCACAAAATTCAATAGATAATCGATAAAGATGTGGCCATTCTAATGTGTGTCTCTGTGGATAGAAATTCCTCAAATTTTGTAGCCAAAAAAGCTCAAGGAGAGTCAACCTGGGAAACTCAAACGTAGAAGCAATGGATTCTGAAACTTGATCTTTTGCAACAATCACGTCTATACCACAATATTCTATTCGAAGCTCTTCAAGATCACGAAGCATGCCTTTGGCTATGGATGCAGGAAACAGACTAGTGAGGCTATCACAAAAGGAAACATGCACGCTCCTTAGACTTGGGAAGGAGACGTCTCCTTTATAGTGATTGCTCCACACATTCTTCAATTTTCGCAATGCATAAAGCGTTAACTTTTTCAGTGGCACAATCACTGATGATGACTCCGCCTCTTTATAATCATTCAAGTCTTCAAAATCAAACACCAACTCTAACGTGTCACAGTCCCTAACTTCTAGTTCTTCCAAGTTGTTTAAAGATCTCAGCACACGAAGGGGCACCAATTTCACAAAGCGACAATTTTTCACAAACAATGTTTTCAAGTTCCTAAATGAGTTGTGTGAAAGTTGGTCCTCCCATATCAATGGAATCAAACCGATTGAATTAGATAATCGCAATATCTCTATTTTTGGAAGCAACACCTACAGTTCACAGAAAATATGATCAAATGAAAATCACTTTTATTCAGACTTGCTTTTCATGAAAGATTGTTTAAATGTCTAGATAAAACTCTCATCCACAATATTATTCAAGAGATTGCTGAAAGTTCAATCTGAAAATTCAAGATAAAAAAAATAAGTAATTCAAAAAAAAAAAAGTAAAATGCTATTATAGCAAGCCTGATAACAATGTAAGTAATTCTAGCGAATGTAATTTTTGTAGATACATTACAAAAAAAAAAAAGAACAAACTTGAAAAATGCCATGATAGCCTGATAGCAAAGTAAATAATTCCGGCAAAAATCACTTTCTACAGGTAACTAAGTTTGAAGTTTTGTCACAAAGTTAAAAAAAAAAAAAAGAATAATTAAAACAACATGAAAATACCATATTGTTGAAAAGGGATTCCAAAGGTTTATTACGATGGTCAATCATCAAAACCATGAGCTACATTACATTCCCATTGATATTTTAGTGACAGGAACAATTCATATATTAAAATACTCAAACATCAAATTAACGTGTTTTTAGACTGACAAATAATTTGAGGCTTCATTATTTATTTTAATGCTTAAAGTTATTTTTTGCTCTTTTATTATATTGTTTTTAAAATAAATAACACATGAATAGCAAATTTAGAGATGTACCTTGCATTGGGACAGTACAGGATATTTTGAGTCTAATGAGCTCCCTTCCTTGTGTATTTCTAATGAACTTGAGACTTCCTTTTCAAATATCTCCAATTCATCACAACTTCTAATAGATAATTGATAAAGATGTGGCCATTCTAATGTGTGTCTCTGTGGATAGAAATTCCTCAAATTTTTAAGCGAAGAAAGCTCAAGGAGAGTCAACCTGGGAAACTCTAACAAAGGAGCAACAGATTCTGAAACTTGATCTTTTGCAACAATCACCTCTATACCACAATCGCTTATTCGAAGCTCTTCAAGATCACGAAGCATGCCTTTGGCTATAGATGCAGGAAACAGACTAGCGAGGCTTTCACAAGAGGAAACATGCACGCTCCTTAGACTTGGGAAGGAGACGTCTCCTTTATAGTGATTGCTCCACACATTTTTCAATTTTCGCAATTTATAAAGCGTTAACTTTTTCAATGGCACAATCACTGATGATGACTCCGCCTCTTTATAATCATTCAAGTCTTCAAAATCAAACACCAACTCCAACGTGTCACAGTCGTTAACTTTTAGTTCTTCCAAGTTGTTGAAAGATCTCAGCACACGAAGGGGCACCAATTTCACAAAGCGACAATTTTTCACAAACAATGTTTTCAAGTTCCTAAATGAGTTGTGTGAAAGTTGGTCCTCCCATATCAATGGAATCAAACTGATTGAATTAAATAATCGCAATATCTCTAATTTAGGAAGCAACACCTGTAGTTTACAGAAAATATGATCAAATGAAAATCACTTTTAATTCACAGACTTCCTTTTCATGAAAGATTTTTTAAATGTCTAGATAAAACTCTCATCCACAACATTTTTAAAGAGATTGCTGAAAGTTCAATTTGAAATTCCAAGTTCAGAAAAAAAGTAATCAAAAAATGAAAAAAAAACTGTAAAATGCTATTTTAGCAAGCTTAATACCAAAGCAAATACTTCTAGTAAATGTAATTTTTGTAGGTACGTTAAATAAAAAAAAAAGAACAAAATAAGAACAAACTTGAAAAATGCCACAATAGCATGACACTAAAGTAAACAATTCTAGTAAAAATTAATTTTTGCAGGTAACTAAGTTTGAAATTTTGTCAGAAAATTAAAACAAAAAAAATAAGAATAATTACAATGATTAGTCATCAAAACCACGAGCCACATTCTCAGATATTTTAGTGACAGGGACAATTTCCAAAAATATCAAATTAAGGTGCTTTTAGGCTGACGAATAATTTGAGGCATCATTATTTATTTTAATACTTGGAGTTAGCTTTTCTCTTTTATTAGCTAATTTTAAGTCATTAAAAAAATAGAAAGCTGCAACCTTCCATAATAGCCTAGCAGCAAAACAAGTAATTCTAGTGAAAATGATTTTTGCATACAAGTTTGAAGCTAAGTTTCGTAGGAAGATAAAATAAGAAAAAATGTGAATAAAATAATCTGAACATACCTTGTTCAAAAGCGACTCAGACATTTTATTGGATATGTTATTTGTTGCTGCTTCATGATGTGCTGAGTTCCAAACAATGGACTCAATAGCATCGTTACTTTCAATCTGAAGATGCCTTAAATGCAGAAATGATCTTCCATCATGACCATGTAGAACATTTTCAAGCCCATTAGATCCATATAAACACAAATCTTCAGCTCCTTTCATCAACTTTCGAACCCCAGGCTTCAAATAGATATCACTCTCAAGCTCAAGTTTCAACACCTTTGAAGTTTTATAGCTGACCGTCCACCATTTCCAGTGCTTCCCAATGAGTATTTTGTATCTCATCAAATTCATATCTAAGAACAAATTCTCCGGCAACATCGAGACATTAGGAATATGAATATCTAGAGAACAGATTGGCAAGCCCTTCAACTCGTCAAGACTCGCGTTTTCATTAGCTTCGGTAGATCCTTCAACTTTCCACTGGTGAAAGCTATTTGCCATAAGCAAAACCCCCAATTTTTTGAAGCTAGATAGCAGTTTTGGTGGAATCACTTTGAGCTTGGAGCAGTGGGCTAAATTCAACATTTCTAAAGAAGTTAACTCTGCCAATTCAATAGGTAGTTGTTGAATTTCAGAGTAAGCAAGACTTAGGACTTTTAACTTCTTCAAGCTTCTAACCTCAATTATGTCTTCTAGCAAACAAGAGTGGAGACACAATGTTTTTAGTTTTTGCAGGAACATGAGCGATGGTAGTGATGAAAAATTTACATTGGTAAATGCCAACACTTTCAGCTCCTTTGATGATTTGAAAAACATCTTAGGTATGGCCAAATCACGTTCGGTGCTGTCTAGCAGAAAGAATTCTAATCTTGAACCGTGCAGCTCTTCTGGAAGGTCACTGATGTCACTCTTCTGTAAGCAAATTCCCTTGTAGTCTTCGAGCTTTTTTGGGTCTGGCCATTCTGTCAAGCTTCTATGCCTCACAATGAATGCATTTAATTCGTTGGGTGTGATCGATAATACAACATCTCGAAAGACGTCATGTATTGTAAAGCGGTGACTAGAAAAGCTATCAAGAAATAAGTTTAATGATTTTAGATCACCTACGGTAGTAGAGACTCCACTGTGGGCATCTTCTATCTTTTCTATGCCGTCAAGAATATCTAACCCCATAGAGTACATGAGCAGGTCCTCAATTGAGGGATCATGGGACAGCATGGCGGAGAGCAAGAACATACGTTTTTTCTCTGAGCTTAGACAATCATAACTCGACTTCAATATCGCATCCACCTCTTTAATTCCTGTGATGTTTCTCCTTAAAGGATGATTCAATCGTTTGTAGAATTCTTGCCACTCACCTAGATTTTTTCCCCTTAATGCCTTGGCAGCTGTTGCAATCGCTAATGTCAAGCCATGACACTTTCGAACAATCTGAGAGGCTATAGATATCAAGTTGTCAGGAGTGCTTGAGTCAATAGGAAGTTCAGAAGTCCTCTTGAACAACTCTAATGCTTCATCCTCTGACAAAACATCCACTTCGATAATTTCTTGACATTTCATGCGGTTTAACAACAGCATCTTATTCCTTGAAGTTAGTAAAATTTTGCAGCCTTCATTCTTTTTGCTATAACTTCCAACATCAACAAAGGGAATTCCAACTTTGCCCAAATCAAGTTCCTCCCAAAGATCATCCAATATTAGGAGCATATTCTTCTCTAGCTTCAACCTCTCACACAGACGACGAGCTCTTACTCCTTCAGATTTTTCATTGAGTTGGAAAGCCAGGTTCTCTGCAATCTCGCCTTGAATCTTCTCAATGTTCAATTCTTCAGAAACAGTTGCCATGATCACCTTTTCAAACATGGTTTGATTCTTCGCCTTCTTTGCTACCTCTTTAGCTATAGTGGTCTTGCCAACACCACCAAGCCCAGACAATCCAACAATACTAACACTAGGATAATGTAAGTGCTCCATAATTTGATTCAAAATTTGCGTTCTTGAACCAATCCCTTCATTGCTTTCTCTGATGAGTACCTCTGGCATCGATGCGGGAGGAATAGGATATGAAAATCTATCAAAGTTTCCCTTTCCATAGATTTCAACAACTTGTTGTGCCATTGCCTTTGCTCTTTTGCTTAGTTTATAACGTAGCCACAGGTTGGGACAGGAAGTTACGCTACACTCTGTTTTTGCTTGACTCTCTTCTTCATGAAACATTTGTGTTTGCTCTAAAATCTCATCTACTTTGCCCAACCAATGCTCAACTTTCTCTTCAATTTGTTCTAAATTTTTTTTAGCATTATCTATTTGCTGTTGTTTGGAGCTTCTTTCAAGGGTGAGTTCCTCAAGTCGTTCATTGAGCTCCTCAATGTTTCTGTGATACTGAAACAGATAACGAAGCTGCTCCCAGGTTAGATCGATCACTAGATCCCGGAACTTGTCAACCAAACTACTCAATGTTCCGCAAGTGATATCCATTGAATTTGCACTCTGTTAAAAACATAGCCAAAACTCAATTAAACTTGGGTTGTGAACTGATGCAGAAATATTGGCACCCTTTTAACAAATGTCTCACCTTTTTTTTTTCCGAATTAATGACGATGAAAACTTGATTTCCACTTTTTCCCGTCTTTCCTTTTTCGCCCTGTGGAAATCAAAGCAAGAGTTTGGTCATTCAAATGATCACGATTGACAATATTAAATTATTTGCAGTCAGAGTATTTTTTGTTTTCATTCATGCAACATCAAGACATGATCACTAAATTTTGCACCCCCTGCAAATAGATATTTGAAATTCTAGAACACGTCACCATGCAGTTGAGATAAGGTGATAGGCAAGCTTATCATTAAACAATTAGGACATAAATTTAAAGTGCAGTTTTCTTTCTTCTTGAAGAACCATAAAAAACCAGCAAAGTTAAAAATGACCACAGTAAAGGAAAAGTGCCAGCAAAAAATGCAAAAGGAGAAAACTTATGATTTTCTTTTATTTTTTAATAAGAAAAAGAGAAAGAAAAACAAAAATCAGAAAACAAAAATTGCAGAAAAAATGTTGAAGAACAAGTTGAGAAATCAAGAAACAAGAAGTAAGGAATGCTGTGTAATTATGAAAGGAGACAGAGAGAACCAACAAAAATATAGCAGAAATTAGTGACAAGTGCCAAGAAAAGGAATAAAATTCAGGGAAAAAAATTTCTGAGAAAATGCCGAAGAAGAAGAAGGCATGAGGCTTTGGGAGGAGTAGATCGCCAAGGCTCTCGTGCACAGAGGAGTCAATGTAGCATATAGCGATGAATGAGACCCACATTAGTTAAAAGAAAAGGGCTGCATTAAAGGAAAGGCACTTTTTTGAAGTTGATTTGAAGCACATCACATTGGCAAAACACATAATACCGTGTGTTACGAAACGTTGAAAATGAAGAATAGAGATTAACTCTGAAGTGACAAAAAGGCGCGTGGCCCCCCCCCAAACAATTGTTACTTTACTGCTCTTTTTGGTTTTAAATTTATAAACTAATTAATTAATTCACATGAATTAAACAAATATCACTAATTTGATTATTTATATTGAATAAATTACAACATAGCATATAACTTATACAATTACCTTATTTAAGATTGTTGAATGCTATTGCGAAAATACTTTTTTTTTAAGGAAAAGGCAAGAACAAAGCGTTGCGAAAATGTTTGAAAATTGTACAAAACAAACCACATTTACATTTTCAAGATTTTATTTTCACATGCCAAAATATTAATTGATTGTTAAATTACACATTTTAAGCCAAAATATCTCTCTCTAATAAAATGCTGTTTAAAATTAATTCAGAATTATAATTTCATAACATATATTTTCAAACTTGTTTTACACATGTAAACTCAGGGACTAATTAATGATTCCAACAGTAAAAGCTAGAAGAACCAATTAGTCAAAGTTTCAATAAAATTAATATTTAATGGATCGAATTATACATAGTTAAAGACTTAAAGTTCAGTCAATAATCAAATTAAAATTATGAGACCAAAACGATTAATTTTTCGCTTAAAAATCTCGGATCTTAGCCCCAAAAATACAAGGGGGCATCCTTAGAGATAATGTAAAAATAGGGAAGCCACACCTTAATAAGTAAATTGCCTTCAATATATGGCTGGAAGTTGGAACAGGTTTCTTCTTCAACAGGTTTCTTCTTCTTCTGGTTGGTTGCTGTCTATATTCAGAAACACAAGAATATGCTGCAAAAGTTGAAAAACAAATTGAACCTTGTAATTACAGATCAATTAAACACCGACTGACTTTGGCATAAATCTATATTTTCAAACTTACAGTAGTGGCCAATGTCAAACTTTGCACTTTCAAGGCGTATGTAAACCTCAATCTCCCAATAGTAATCAGCTTTACTCAGTGTTCCAACACAGATCAAGCATGAAAGACGTCTTTTTTTATGGTGTTTTGAACAACTTTGAGAAACAAACGCTTCAAAACAATAGAAGACAACTATAAAGTGTGTAAGTTTACGAAAAAAGATGATGAACTTGTGAAATTAAACAGGAAAAACAACATCACAACTAAACAACAAAATATCACAAATATGATGAAAAAGCGGTTTTTTTAAACAAATTATTTTTACGATTTTTTTTCTTGAAGAAATATCACGAAACCAGAAAAATATAGTTGAAAATGATCACAACAGAGAAGAGCCAAAAAGTATTGTTACTGCCATTAATAGTGTTGATAGCATTAACAATAGAGAATTGCAAGTGCGCCAGCAAAAAACATGCAAAAGGCTGTAAATTCAGGATTTTTCTTTTTTTTTTGGTGGAGAAAAGACAAAAGAAAAAGGCACTGCACAGATAACGAAGTGAAAAAAGAAACTGAGAAAGCAGTAGAAATTAGCATAAGGGAGAAAGTAGTAGGAGACTTGTGAATGGAGGAGAAGAAGAGGAAGAAGAAGAAGAAAAAGATCTGCAGCTTTAGTTAGAAGGAGTGGCCACAAAGTTTCCGGTTAATATTTTTTATTTTTTATTTTCTTTTTCATGTTTTTGGTCGAGGAACATATAACAGAAAGAAAACTGCAGAAATGATGGAGTAAAACGAGAAGTTGAAAAGGCAGTAAAAATTAGCAGAAGACAGAAATTAGGAGATTTGTGAAACTATGAAGGAGAAGAAGAAGAAGCAGATCTGAAGCTTTAGTTGGGAGGAGTAGCTGCAAAGTGGAGGCAAGTCAATGTAGAACGGTTCGGACACTGCGGTTCACATTATTATTATTATTAGGGGGGAAAACACGTTGTACGGTTTAGGAGAATTATTTGCGTGTCCTTTCTTCTAAAGAGCGTTGATACTCCTTTTCAACTTAATTAACTAATTTTAAAAATTAAAAAAATTAAAAAAACAAAATTATTTAATTATATCATATATTACATTATCTTTTTAAAAATATTGATGTACATTATTAGATTATATACCAGTCTATAAATTAGACAAATTAATTTAAAAAATAACAAAAAAATTTTAAAATAATTTTTTTAATCCCTCTAACTTAAGTAATTGAATGTTATGTTAAGGATGGACCTATTTAAATAGCAAAAGGGCACTGGCGGAATCGGACGCGATCCTGAAGCAAGGAGGTTTCACTTCGGGGGTTCTTTATGGTCGAAGAGCTGGGTAATTGCAAGAAAAATAAGTTGTGATATTTTCAACTTTCCATTAGAATTTTAAGAAGCATTTGTGATGTTTTTTACTTCAGTAGTTTCATTTTTCTTAAATTTTTAATTTAGTATCTATGTATTTTTTTAATTAAATTATTTAATTTTATTCTATTAGAATTATCAACTCCTGAAATTTGCTCCATTTGCGCTGTCAGCTACTATTAACAATGCTAACCAAATAAAATTAAATATTTAATTAAGATAGAAAAACATTAAATATTAAATATTAAATTCAAAACTGAATGAGAAAATGATTTTCTCAAGAAACAAAAAAACTACAGAAATAAATTTGATGATGATCAAAACAAACAAGACTACTCATGCGATCACACTAAGTTACAACTCCGTCATGATAATCTTATCCATTATAATTTGGAGAGAAATTAGTTTTGAGAAATTAAAAAATTAGTAAATTTCTTAATTATAGCATAAATAACATGATCTCTCTAAAATAATTATGCATATTATTAGATTATATATCAATTCATAAATAAAGCAAATTAGTTTTAAAAAATTAATAAATATAAATACTTTAAATTAATTTATTATTTTTTTAATATTTTTAAATTAGTCAGCTAAGTTTTATATTAAAAATAAAAAATAGTGATTCAAAAATTTTAAAATTGAGAAGCAAAAACTGAGGAGGAAAGGAGTGAAAGGAACAGTGAGAATAAGGAAATGGAATAGGAAAGGCATCATACATGGGGATATCAATATCATATGTACATATTACGTCGTGTATAATGTAGACATCTCTTTATTTTTCTTTAATTCAAAAAATAAAGTAAAATTGATAAAGTGGTTATTTATGAGAGCGGGGCAGGTTTAGGGTTGACTTTTTGCGATCAGTGTCCTTAGCGACAGGAGAGACTATGAAAAAAGTAGAAATTAGCAGAAGGGAGAAAGTAGGAGATTTGTGAATCTATGAAGAAGAAGAAGCAGATTCGAAGCTTTAGTGAGGAGGAGTGACTACAAAGTAAAGCCACGCAAATGAGAGTTTTGAAGAAAATAGTCAAATATTAAAATGAGGGAGCCAAACCTAAGTATCTGCACTATGGCTGGAATGCTTTTCTTCTTCTTTTTCTTGGTTGCTCTCTATATTCAGAAACACAAGAATACGCTGCAAAAGTTGAAACACAAATTGAACTTTGTAAGTACACATAAATTAAACACAGACTGACTTTGGCATAAATCTATATTTTCTAGCTTACAGCATGAAACTTTGCAATTTGAAGGCATATAAACCTCAGATCTCCCAGCAGTAATCAGCTTTCCTCAGTGTTCCAACACATATCACACCATGAGAGAGCTCCTTTTTGTGGTGTTTTAAACAACTTTTACAAGCAGATGCTTCACAACAATCGAAGACAACTACAAATCTGAAAGTTTTTGAAGAAAGATGATGAACTTGCGAAATCAAACAGGGAAAACAACATCAACTAAACTAGTTTTTTTTTTTTGGGAGATATATGAGCTGTCACAAACTGAAAAGGGCAGGTTTTTGTTTTTTTTTAAAATGATCACAGCAACAGAGAAGTGCCAGCAAAAAATGCAAAACGAGAAAATTCAGGATTTTTTTAAAGAATTCTTTAAATAAATGATTTTTTTCCCAGCAAATTAGTGTTTTTTGGTTTTTTTTTTTTTTTTTGGGCTTTCGTTTGGAATTCTAGAACACTTCACCATGTAGGTTGAGTATGGGCATAGGCAAGCTTATTACTGAAAAATAAGCGCATAAATTTATGCTTTTGGACATATTACCAACGTGTAAAGAGAACATTGCTTCTTATTTTTCCTCATAAATATTCTAAAGGAGGAGAATATTTTGCCGCAAAATTTGAGAGTCAAATTGAATAGAAACTTACAATAACCATGTGAAGCTTCCCAATCTGATTCCGATCTACCAGCAGTAATCAGTTTTCCTTGGTGATCCAACACAAACCAACATGACCACCTTTTTCCTCTGTCTTTTTATGATATTTTGAACAACTTTAAGAAGCAGATCTTCACGACAATCAAAGGTTTTAGCAGAAAGACTGACTTACAGGAACAGACGGGAAATCAACATCAACAAAATAAGGAAAACAAAAAAGAAGATGAACTCAGAGAAAACAGAGCAGAGGGAGTAACGCACTTTTTTTACGACGCGGCTAGTGATAAATTCAAAGTGCAATGTTTTTTTTTTTTGTTTGGATTTTTTCGTGGAAGAAATATCGAAAACCAGCAAAAAGTAAACTTGAGAGTGGTCACAATAAAGGTGCCGGCGAAAAATGCAAGAGAAGAAAATTTTAGATTTTTTTAAAAAACTTTTTTGATATGAAACACAGAAAGGAAAACAGAAATCAGAAAATAAAAGGGGAATTACAGAAAAGATGTTTAATAACAAGCTGAGAAATCAAGAAACACAGAGGAAGTAAGAAATGCGGTGAAATTATGAAGGAAGACCACGAGAACAAACAAAAATATAACAAAAACTGAGTGAAATGCGCCCATGAAAGGAAGAAGATCGGAATTTCTTCTTCAGCGTCCAGAAAAGACAAAATAAAACGAAAATCAGAAAATTCAAAGAACACAGGAAGTTTGAGAGAAAATGTTAAAGAAGAAGCTGGGAAATCAGGAAAGTGGGGGGGTGATGTGAAACTATGAAAAAAGAAGCAGATCTGAAGGTTGGGAGGAGTAGATCTTAGAGTCTCTCGTGCTGCATAAAGGAATGAGTGGGTAGTATCAGTATGGCAATGAAGAAGCAGGAATCAGATTCCCTTCCTTGGCAAAATCAAACGAAATTAAAAAAAAATAGGAAAAATTACGTACAGGTCTTACAGGAAACAATTTATTACTCTGAGGTCCTACGAAATGTCAAAATCACTGACAGGTCCCAAGGGACTCTCAAAAAAATATTTCATATTCCAGATTCACATTTACTCTGTCATTGCGATTTACAATCTTAGCAGCGACTATTAACAACCCAATGAGAGAGCGTTAACAACTCTAGCAGTATCTGTTAACAACTTACTTTATAGAATCATATAACCTCCACATAAGAGTAAATTATAACCAAATAGTATAATACAACAACTTAACACTAAAATGGGAAGTTTTTTGATATCATTAAGAATTTTAACTAGTTCCAATAGGATTATAGTAATATTTTAATGCGAAGATCCATTTACAACCTCAACAGCGACTATTAACAACCGAATGAGAGGGCATTAATAATCTAAGTAGTATCCGTTAACAATTTACTTTATAGAATTATATAACCTCCGCATAAGAGTAAATTATAACCAAATAGTATAATACAACAACTTTAACACTAAAATGGGAAGCTTTTTGATATCATTAAGAATTTTAACTAGATCCAATAGGATTATAGTAATATTTTAATGCGAAAATCTATTTACAACCTCAACAGTAAGTATTAATAACCTAAGGAGAACTTTTAACAAACTTAGCAGTGTCTGTTAACAACTAACTTTATCGGATAATATAACTTCTAACTATAACTAACTAAATTATAACTAAATTGTCTTAAAGTTAATCTTATATAGTTGTTAGCGATTATATTATCCTATAAAGTCAGTTGTTAACAGATACTGCCTAGATTGTCAACAGCTCTCTTTGGGTTATTAATACTCACCATTGAGGTTGTAAATGGATCTTCGCATTAAAATGTTGCTATAATCCTATTGG